CAACACATTAAATGCCCTTCTGGAGATCCCATCCACCCCCTCCAGGCCTGAAACAATGGACAAAAAAGAGTGACAAGCATGGCAGGAACTGTGTGACTTTATTTAAGCACAAGAGAGCAAGAAGGAAATGGAGATTAGGGAAGGGAAGGGAGAAGCAAGAGTACAAGAGAAGGGGACGGTTGAGAGGTGGGGGCTGAGGGGAGGTCCCTTAGTCGGTTCAGGCAACCCAGAATCTCCAACAGAACACATCCACATGTTGGACCCAAGATGGCAGAGGAGTAGGTGGAAGCTACACTAACCTCCTCCCAGAACCATCTGGAATTACAACTGAATTGTAGAGAAATCATCCTGAACAACCAACTGGATACTAGCTGGAGAGAAGCCTTATAATGAAGGGCAGACGGAAAAAACCACCTCATCACAATGAGACTCCTAAGGAATTCAGGGGAGGCACAGGAGCACTGGCTGGGCTCCCACTGGTGGAACCTTAAGTTCTGAAGAGATAATTCAGCAGCTGGGGTGGGGGGTGGGGTTGGGGAGCAGATTCCCCTGAGAGGTATGATGTCTAAATCTCAAACTAGGTTCCCAACCCTACAGCACCAGAGCCAGAAAGGAACCCAGATAACATCCAGCTGTGAAAAGCAGCAGGGATTCTATCTGCCAGAGAGAGTTGGCTGGAGACCCAGAGAGCCTCTTAAAGAGCCAACACACAAAATTTTGTTTGCAGCCACTTACCCTGGGCTCCAGCAGAGGGAGGGCAGAGTGGACTAGAGATGTTTGAGGAGAGTCTGGGGTTTGAGGCTTGAGAGAAAACTGAACAAACAGCTGCCAGGATCCCTGTGCTGAGTCATTTCCCATCCTGCAGAGGCCATCCTTCTCAGGAAGAGCACTCCTCTCTGAATGGCATCAACCTGAGTGGGAGCAATAGCCTGCCCCCAGGAATTACTCTGTCCCACCCTGTGGTGCTTAAGCCAGGTTGCTAATTACAGCTTGAGGCTATATCACTGATCAGTTTAACAATTAAGGCAGAAAATGCAAAAAAGGCAGCCAAAATGGGAAGACAAAGAATCAGACCCCAAATGAAAGAACAAGAGTATTGTCTAGAAGAACCAGATGAAGTGGAAGCAAACAATTTATCAGATAGAGTGTTTAGAGTAATGATTGTAAGGATACTCAAGAGCATGAAAAAACACATTGAACCCATAAAAAAGGACCAGTCAGAAATAAAGAATAAAACATCTGAAATAAATAATACACTGGAAGGAATAAACAGTAGGTTATAGATGAAGCAAAGGATCAGATCAGTGATTTGGAAGACAAGGTAGAAAAAAAACTCAAGCAGAGCTGGAAAAAGAATTTTAAAAAGTGAGGAGACCTTAAGAAACATTTTGGAGAACATGAGGCATAACAACATCTACATAGTGAGAATATATAAGAAGAGAAGATAACAAGCAAGGGATCGGGACCTATTTGAACAAATAGTGACTAAAAACTTCCCTAATCTGATAAAGGAAAAAGATACACAAGTTCAGGGAGCTCAGAGAGTCCTAAACAAGTTGGACATAGGCTGACAACGAGACACATCATAATTAAAATGACAAGGTTTAAAGACAAGGAAAGAATCCTAAAAGCCAAGAAAGAAAAGCAGGTAGTTACCTACAAGGGAGCACCAATTAGATTGTTATCTGGTTTCTCAACAGGAACATCTCAGCTAAAAGGGAGGGGCATGAAATATTCAAGGTGATGAAAAAAGCAAAGATCCACAACCAAGACTACTTTACCCAGCAAGGATATCATTTAAAATTGAAGGAGAAACAAGGAGCTTCTCAGACAAGTTAAAGCTAAAGGAGTTAACACCAAACAAGTACTGCAACTGTTAAATGTTAAAGGGCTTGCTTTAAGACAGAGAAGGAAAAGAGAAAGAAAAGGACAGAAAAAATTTGTTTAACAATAAATGTCACTAAATATGTATCTCTCAATAATCACCTTAAATGTAAATGATGCCCTGGCTGGTTTGGTGCTGTGGATTGAGTGCCAGCCTGCAAACTAAAAGGTCACTGGTTCAATTCCCAGTCAGGGCACATGCTTGGGTTATGGGCTGGGTCCACAGTTGGGTGAGTGCAAGAGGCAACCAATCGATGTATCTCTCACACATCGATGATTCTCTCCCTCTCTTTCTCTTTCCTTGCTCCTCTCCCTAAAAATAAAGAAATAAAATTTAAATATGTAAATGGTTTAAATGCTCCAACCAAAAGACATAAGGTAGCTGAATGAATAAGAGAACAAGACCCATATATATGCTGCCTCCAAGAGACCCATCTCAGATCGAAAGATACACACAGACTAAAAGTAAAGGTATGGAAAGAGATGTTTCATACAAACGGAAAGGGAAAAAAGCTGGAGTAGCAGTACTTTTATCCAACAAAATAGTCTTTAAAACAAAGACTATAATAAGAGAAAAAGAAGGACATTACATAATGATAAAGGGAACAATCCAAAAAGGGGATATAGCCCCAGTAAACATTTATGCACCCAATATAGGAGCACCTAAATATGTGAAGAAAATATTGATGGACATAAAGGGAGAGATTGACAGAAATACAGTTATAGTCAGGGATGTTAACACCTATTGACTTCAAGGGATAGATCTTCCAGGCAGAAAATCAACAAGGAGACAGCAGCCTGAAATGATACAGTAGATCAAATGGATTTAATTGACATCTTCAGAGCATTTCAGCCTGAAGCAGAAGAATATACATACTTTTCAAGTGTACATAGAACATTTTCTAGGCTAGACTATGTTAGGACACAAAATAAGTGCAACCAATTTAAGAAGATGGGAATCATATCAAGCATCTTCTCTGACCACAATGCTATGAAAGTAGAAATTAATCACAAGAAGACTGAAAAACATGCAGATATGAAAACTAAGTAACATGTTATTAGACAATGAATGGGTCAACGCAAGATCAAGGAAGAAATAAAGATATCTTGTAACAAGTGGAAATGAGGACACGACAATCCAAAGTCTGTGGGACACTGGGAAAGCAATCCTAAGAGGGAAATTCATTGCGTTACAGCCTATCTCAAAAAAGAAAAAAGAAAAATAAAGACAACCAACAGAATGGGAGAACACATTTGCCAGTACATCTGATAAGGGGTTAATATCCAAAATTTATAAAGAACTTACAAAACTCAACACCAAAAAACCCAAACAACCCAATTGAAAAATGGGCAAAGGACCTGAATAGACACTTCTCCAAAGAGGACATACAGATAGCCAATACACATGATAAGATGCTCAACATCACTAATCATCAAAGAAATGCAAATTAAAACCACAATGATGTCATCTCACACCTGTTTGAATTGCTATCATCAATAAATCAACAAACAACAAATGCTGGCAAAGATGTAGAGAAAGGGAAATAGTTTTGCACTGTTGGTGGGAATGCAGACTAGTGCAGCCACTGTGGAAAGCAGTATGAAGATATCACAAAAAATTTTAAATGGATCTGCCTTTTGACCCAGTGATCCCAGTTCTGGAAATATATCTGAAGGAACCCAAAACACCAATTCAAAAGAATATAAGCCCTACTGTGTTCATGCAACATTATTTACAATTGCCAAGATATGGAAGCAGCCCAAGTGTCCACAAGTAGATGAGTGGATAAAACAACTATGGGACCTTTACACAATGGAATACTACTCAGCTGTAAAAAAAGAAGAAAATTTTACCCTTTGCAACAGTATGGATGGACCTGTACAACATTATGCTAAGTGAAATAAGCCAGTCAGAGAAAGACAAATGCCATATGATTTTACACATATGTGGAATTTAATGAACAAACTGAACTAACAAAGTGAGGCCAGACTCACAGATGGAGAGCAGGATGACAGCCAATGCAGGGGTGAGGGGGTGGAGGGATTGAACAAAAAGTTAAAAGGACTCATGGACATGGACAATAGTGTGGTGATTGCTGGGGGTATAAGGGTACTAAATGGTAATGGAAAATACAATAAAGATTAAATCCAAAAATATAAAATAAATTAAAGGAAATAAATAAATAAATCCCCATGTCACCCCTCCCAGTAGCCGTCCTTGGCCTGGGGGAGGCAGGAGACAAGGACTGAGTTTCTTACACAACAGGCAATGAGAAGTGGACAGCAGGGAAGATGGCTCAGGGTGGGGTCCACCAGTTATAGCCACCACCGGGCTGCGCATGGTTGGGTTGTGCACAAGGGCCAGCTGGGGTTCTCGGGGAGGAGAAAAGGCCGGGGACTTGGGGGGTTTCCTCAAGCCCTGCCGACTTAACACTTCTTACAGCTTCTGCTGCAGGCTCGCATCCCACCGCACCTGGTGTCACAGGGACAGGTGGCAGAGAGGTTCCCACAAACGACACTGCCCTGGGAGAGGCTCACACTGGCACGGGGACAGTAACGATAATTCAGAACCTTTGGTGGGAGTGGGGAGCTGGTCCCAAGCCACCCCCAGACCTGGAAGATCAGGTTGACATGGGGATTTGGGGGGAGGCTGGGGATGATTACCGGGGCAGGTACCTGGGGTGACGAATGGGCAATAGAAGGAAAATAATAGTAACAACAATAATAGCAACAGCTAGGATTTGTTGACAACTTACTATGCACCCGGAATTCTACTAATGATTTACATACACACCTCACTTTATCCTCACCACCTCCCTGAGCAAGTTTTATGCTTTATTCTAGATACAAAGGAAACTGATGTTCAGAGAGGTTGTGGGATTTTTTCACCCAGATTGTAAGTGGCAGAGCCCAGGCTTGATCCTAATTGTGTCTGATTCCAGAAACACCCTTGACCACTACGCTATTAAGAAGGAGGACTGATTTCCAAAATGGGCACTGCGATATTCAAGATGTTTCATAATGATGCCTTGGATTAGCAAAACTAGACACACACATCCACACTTTCACACACATCCACTCCATATACTGTCTCCGTGTCCCATTGGCTCACACACCTCCGGGCACACCATGGGTCTCTCCAGGTCCAGCACCTCCAGTGCTCGGCCTGACATTCCAAGCCTGCCCTGTTCATCCACCACATCCACCATCTAGCCCCAGCCTGCCTCCTTTCCCCCGGCCCTCATTCATCCCCTATTTTCCAGCTAAGTGGACTGCCAGCTGTCCCTTTCACGTCTATAGTTTCTGCTGCTTTGTGTCTTTGTTTACATCATTTCCCTCCTCCCTCTCTCATCTCAGTACATCCAATTCTTCACCATTCTTCAGGCCCAATCAAACTGTCATCTTCTCAAGGACCCTGCCCTGACCTCTGGCCCCAAGTTCCTTGGCATGATGTTCCTCCATTAGAGCCAGACACCCTGCAGCTTTGCATTAAGGCCCTCGGTGTCTGCCTGCCCCGCCTGGGAAACGCGGTCTTCTCCTTCTGCTCTCAGCCAGGCTCCTGCTGAGTGCTCAGCAGGTGTTTTCTCCCTGCCTCGAATTGGCTCCTGGGGCCCCTTGGAGGCAGTGGGGGTTAAGAAGAAACCTGAGGACCAAGACAGAGCATTTGCTTTCCATCAACAGACTGGTGGACTGGAGATAAAAGGGGCAAGGGAATGATTTCTAGGAGAGCTGGCCAAGAATGGAGCAGCCCTCCTTTCCCTCAAGGAAGCGTAACTACCAACCCTCTCTGTGGGGAAACCTCTTCTTGATTGCGTCTGATCTCTCATGCTGCAGCGATCTCTCTCACTTAGGTTCCCAGAATAATAAAGAGGACACCAGGGAGTATGTTGCCCTGAGGCGAGGTCAGAGACTAGCACTAACACTTTGGGGGACACTGTATTCTAGCTGTCGAGGCTTTCAATTCCCTCCCCTCTGGGTTATGTTCTTAGTGGGCACAAATCAACCTGCAGCCCTCTGGTCTCTCTGGATTTTAATGCATTTAATTATCTATGTGGACAAAAGCTGATTAGTAACCTCCTCATTGATTGTGACAGCACAGAAAGTCTGATCCATCTACCCACCAAAACCCAGAAAGAGGTCCAAGCAAGCATCATGTAAGTGCCTCCACGAGGCTAACTTAAGTCCTCCATGCTTCAGGGCAGGTTCATTTCCTCTCATGAGGGGGACACCAGAGGGGGATGTCTCTGTCACTGCTAGTATTCCCTGGAGAAAGTTGGTGTAGGAATACATAATCCTAAAGCCACATAGCTGGCAACTCCAGTTGCAGCTGGAAGTAGAAGCATAAGACACTGGAGCTGGGCTCCATCTTCTACAGAGGAGAGAACTAAGGTTAGGCTGAAACTCCCACAAAACCAAGGCTGGATCAAAGGGCTTTGGGCTCTCTGGAATGTTGGAAGGGCAGCAAAGGGGGCAGTGGGGCACTCCCCAGAAATGAGATGCCAGGCAGCCCAAAGCCAGGCATGGCTGGCCACCACAACCTCTGGGATTCCAGGATTTAATCACCCTTTGCACAATAATAACTCGTATTTTAAAACAAAGGAAGCTAAGGATGATTTACACGTTTCTTTTTAATTGCTGAGTTCACACTTTGGTTACGTCTGTCTATAACTAGACACATACTTAGCTTTCATTATGACGGGCTTGGCCTTCAAGAGTTGGTGGCCATGACCAAGCACCAGTTGAAGGGAAGACTTTGGATCAGACTGATTTCTCTAAGGGCCCAAAGCCCAGCAGTCTGGGCTCCTGCCTCCTCGAGGAGCCCAACCCTCCTGAGCCCCCAAAGACTCAGACCCTAGAGGGGCCAGTGAGGGGGAGGGCTGGGAGCCGCCTGTCAGATTCGGACTCTGCCTCTCTACGGAGCCTTCTATGCGTGACCTCAGACAAGTCACTGGACCACTCTGAGTTCACCTTCAAAATCAGGTAAACCTCAGAAGGATGTCTGGAGGTTAGACGAAAGAATGCATTTTAAGGCCCTCACACACAACAGTTAAAATAATTTTTTTAAAGAATACAAAATAAATAAAGCCCTCACACACTATAGGCACTCCATAAATGCGACCCCCTCCCATCCACCTACCAGAGTGCAGAGGGGTACAGGACAGGGTGCAACATTACTAGGAGAGGAGCTATAAGCTGAGTTCTGATGAAGAGAGAAGAGAATTTTTCCCAAAGAGAGGCAGGATGAACGGCAAATTAATAATAGTAGAACAAACAGAACAAACAAATAAGCAAACAATTAAGGAGCTCTTATTAAGTGGAAGGTAGGGCCCTAAATGCTTTCCCGTCCATTACCTCATTAGGTCCTCTTAACAGCTCTCAGATGGGTACTGTTATCCCTATTTTGCACTTGAGGAAATATTTACAAATATTCACTTTGCACGATCATGACAACAAAATGCAAAACTGACTTCAGACACCCCTGCCCTTCAACGTACACAAACACGCACGCCCCCACACCGTGTGAAGAAGCACAAATAACTAAGACGAAGGCTTCGCAGCCCAAAGGGTGGTTTGGTGGGCCTGGGTGCCCAGGAGGGGCCCGGTACGCCCAGCCAGCTGCCCAGCCCGGGCGTGGAGCCAGAGATCCAGCGCTACTCGGGCCTAACCCAGCAGAGGGGTGTAGGGGGCTGGTCCTGAGCGCACGGCACAGGGCCTGCGGAGCTGACCAGGCAATTCCCGGCCCCATAAAGCACGGGGAAGGGTGGGGGGCGGGTAGCAAACGCGGTTTTATGGAGGCGGCCGGGCGGGCAGCCGGCCCGCTTTGATTCCGGGTGGAACGGGGAGCAAGGGCCGACCTCCAAGCTAGTAAACGCGTTGGCTGCTCGCTCCCTCCCGGGGCCAGCAGGCAGCGATATAAGGCTCTACGCGGACTTCGAGGTCCAGAGCCCGCCACTGCCACCACTGCTGCGCCATGTCCTGCCTGGCCTCCGGTCTCGGAGCCCCAAGTGGGGTCCGCGCCTTCAGCTGCGCCTCGGCCTGCGGGCCCCGGCCCGGCCGCTGCTGCATCACGGCCGCCCCCTACCGCGGAGTCTCCTGCTACCGAGGCCTCACTGGGGGCTTTGGCAGCCAGAGCCTCTGCGGGGGCTTCCGCTCTGGCTCCTGCGGCCGCAGCTTCGGATACCGCTCTGGGGGCGTGTGCGGACCCAGCCCGCCCTGCATCACCACCGTGTCGGTCAACGAGAGTCTCCTCACGCCCCTCAACCTGGAGATTGACCCCAATGCGCAGTGTGTGAAGCATGAGGAGAAGGAGCAGATCAAGTGTCTCAACAGCAGGTTCGCTGCCTTCATTGACAAGGTGCGTGTTCTTGATCAGCCCTTTCCTAAATCTTCAGGTGCTGGGCTGGGCACTGAAGGGGAGTCAGGGGCAGGAGGGACATGGTCCAGGTGGGCTCCCAGTAGGTGGAGGAGATGGACACAGATCCAGAGCACAGGCAGACACCGAGAGATGTGTATTGGGCAGGGCCCTTGATTCCATAGCACTGTTGTACACAACCTCTGTCCCGGCAGGCAGGGTCGCCACAGACAAGGCGGGTGTTCTTGAGCTCGCCCTTCCAGAGCTTGGAGGTCTGGGGGGACCAGAATTCCCAGGCAGGCAGTCACTCTAGAAATAGGAATGGGAAGTGCTGGTATTTTACATGGTAATTTTAAGTGGTGCATTCTCCTGTCACGAATGCTTCAATACTTGAGATTAATGGAGAAAATTCCATTGAGTGCTAAATGTCTTTAACATCCCTCTAACACTTGCTGCTTTCCTACTTTTAATAAAGAGAGCAAGCTTCAGGTTCAGAGCTGTCTGAGGCAACAGTTTCAACAACAATTTGTTTATGATTTCCTTTTACAAATGCATAGTGATAACGGTTTTACAACTCCAACGGTAATATTAAGTTACTCCTTTAACCCCATTTAAGTGTGAATGTTCAGCAAATCCACTTATAGATAAATAATAAATAAAATAATACAAGGGGATGGCAAAATTTTGAAGTCAGCCTGTGAAGGGTTCATATTTGAGAATCACTGCCACCCCCAGTCCAGCCCTCAGAGTGCAAACAGAACGGAAAGGAGACCAGGCGAGGGGCCTGCCCTAGGGCCCACCGAGAGTGGGTGGCAGAGCAGGACTCCAAGCCTGGGCTCTCTCCAGCTCCCCAGCCCCCAGAAGCTAAAAGTCCCAAAACTTGGGGTCAAGGGCCCCTTGCCCCCCCATTAGGAGCTGCTCCACCTCAGCAGACACTGCACCCGGAGTGTGCTGGCGCTCACACCTGGGAAAGGTGTCCAGGAATGGAGTTGGAAGAAGCTCCTGGCCTAGGACCAGGCAGCTGGGCTCCATGCCCAGCTTCTCCGCTGATTCACTGTATGATGCTGGGTAGCAGTGTCCCCTCTTGGCCCCAGTGCTCTCCACACCAGAACTGTGTGTGGTGCAGTGTGGGAGCTGACCATGACTTTGAAAGGGAAGATGAGAGACAAGGCAGCCATGAGACTCCCACCATGCTGGATCCCCACCAGCCAAGACCACCTAAAGTGATCCCTTATAATATCAGCAGTCCCGGTTCCCTGTTTCTGAGCACTTGTTCCAACCAGGGAATTCCCAGCTGCAGTCTGTGGAGTTGGACGAAAGGATGCCAAGACAAAGGTAACGTCTCAACTCCAGCAAAACACATGAGAAACAGGAAACTGGAGCCAAGGGCCTAGTCGCGTTTGCGGATGTCCTGTCTGGCCAGCACATGGCTGCCATTGCAGCTCTCCGAGTTGAATGACTCCCAGCGATGGCCTGCATACTTCATTTCCCTACAGTTCTCACCCTCCCTTCTTCCCCCAGTCTTCCCCATTCACATTACCTGCCCGGCTTCCAGAGCCATCTGAGTGTCCAACATAAAGTTTTGGCCACTTAAGACCAGAAGCCACCCACCCCTGTTCCTCTCCAGAACTCAGCCACCCTGCTTGGTGACAGCTGTCCCTCTGACCTCCGCAGCTAGGAAGCCCTTCCCATCTTGACCATCCATTCAAACTACTGCTCCCCCTGCCCCAGCCCGGCCACTGAGGACATAGAAAAAGGAGCCATAGGCCCTGCCCTGGGAAAGCTCAGAGTAAAAGGCTTTCATCCTAGTTTATCCTCCCACCCCTGCTCTACATTCCTTTCCTTCAGGAGGCCTTC